AACCGTTCTCTGGCGGCTCGAGCGGCGGCGAGGGTTCGCGACGGCGGCGGAAATGCGTTCGATTACGACGGTGGTCCTACATTCGCCACTCGCCAGCAGCAGATCGGGTTCTGCCCTAGGAAGCAGCGACCCGTACAGAGACCTGTGTGGCAGAGCGGTGAGCATTACAGTTTCGGTGAGTTTGAGTATAAAGCTAAGACCTTTGAGAAGAATTATCTTAAGAAATGTGGTAAAAAGAGTCAACTCTCTGCTTTAGAAATGGAAACCCTTTACTGGAGAGCTACAGTGGATAAACCCTTCTCTGTTGAGTATGCCAATGACATGCCTGGCTCGGCTTTTATCCCTCTGAGTTTGGCTGCTGCAAGGAGGAGAGAGTCTGGTGGTGAGGGAGGAACTGTTGGTGAGTCAGCTTGGAACATGAGGGCAATGGCTAGAGCCGAAGGGTCATTGCTTAAGTTCATGAAAGAAGAGATCCCTGGGGTTACATCTCCAATGGTGTATGTTGCTATGATGTTTAGCTGGTTTGCGTGGCATGCTGAAGACCATGACCTTCATAGTCTCAATTACTTGCATATGGGTGCTAGTAAGACCTGGTACGGTGTGCCAAAGGATGCTGCTGTGGCTTTTGAGGAGGTGGTTAGGGTTCATGGTTATGGAGGAGAGCTCAATCCTCTTGGTGAGTATCATAGGAAGGTTAATTAGAGTTATGTGCGAGTGAGTTACTCAATGTTTCAATTCCATGTTCTGATTGTTGATTGTTGTGTCTCTGTCCTTTTTGTTGCTTTTTAACTGCTTTTATTTTATCAAAAGTTGTCCGGGGAAGAAGCTGCTTATGTAGCTTTATGCCAGTAAACTAATTATGCCTCTTATGTCGTTGTCTTACCAGTGACATTTTCTACTCTTGGTGAGAAGACAACTGTGATGTCTCCTGAAGTATTTGTTAAAGCCGGAGTACCGTGTTGCAGGTAATGGTTTTCTTTTGTGTGCTCTGTTTACCTTCCATGTTTCTTCTTCAAATAGAAAGCAAACCTTTTTGTTTAATTCATTCTTCCTATCTTTTGATTGAATGGAAACATCCAGAGGCACAATTTTTTACACAAGTTGTTTTGTGTGTATCAGGTTAGTGCAAAATCCTGGAGAGTTTGTCGTCACTTTTCCAAGAGCATATCATTCGGGTTTCAGTCATGGTGAGCAAGCTACCTTTATTTAGTATATACAGTCATGGCTTAAAACGTTGAAGTAACTTATGCTATCCCAAAAAAACAATCTTGGGGGTTACAGGATTCAATTTTGCTGAAGCATCTAACATTGCAACTCCCGAATGGTTGAGAATGGCCAAAGATGCTGCCATCCGGCGAGCTGCAATAAATTACCCTCCAATGGTTTCTCATCTCCAGTTACTTTATGACTTTGCATTGGCTCTAGGTTCAAGGTATTTTCTCACTCTCCAACTTTAGAGTCCTAAAACTGCTTTAAAAGGTTTATATAAGGTTTATTCACCCATTGCAGAGTGCCAACAAGCATCCACACCAAACCACGGAGTTCTAGATTGAAAGATAAGAAAAGAAGTGAAGGAGAAAAATTGACTAAAGAGCTATTTGTGCAAAACATCATCCACAACAATGAATTGCACCATTCTCTCGGAAAAGGATCTCCAGTAGCCCTTCTCCCGCAGAGTTCCTCAGATATATCAGTTTGTGCTGACCAGCGAGTTGGATCCCATTTGAGAACTAACCAGGAAAAGCCCATCCAATTGAAATCTGAGGACTTAAGTTCTGATAGTATTATGGGCAGTCTCAATAACGGTGTCAAGGATACTGTTTCAGTGAAAGAAAAGTTTACATCTTTATGTGAAAGGAGCAGAAATCACCGGGCAAGCACAGAGAAGGAAACTCAAGAAACGCTGACAGATGCTGAAAGGAGGAAAAATGTCGGACTTTCGGATCAGAGGCTTTTCTCTTGTGTTACATGTGGAATCTTAAGCTTTGACTGTGTAGCTATTGTTCAACCTAAAGAAGCAGCAGCTAGGTATCTCATGTCTGCAGATTGTAGCTTCTTCAATGATTGGACAGTTGCTTCCGGGTCTGCAAATCTTGGTCAGGCTGCAAGATCACTTCATCCGCGTAAGTTACAAGTTACACTTCCTCTTATTGCCTGTTATTTAGCATGTACTAACTTTGTTTCATTATGCAGAAAGCATGGAAAAGCATGATGCAGATTACTTCTATGATGTTCCTGTTCAAATTATGGATCAAAGAACTTCAACAACTTCCCTGACAAAAGCGCATAAAGATGATGGTGCTCTTGGGCTTTTAGTTTCAGCATATGGAGACTCTTCTGATTCCGAGGAAGAAGATCACAAAGGCGTAGATGTTCCTATTTCAGAAGGGGAAACAAGCAAGTATGATCGAGAAGGTACTTTTGCGTTTAAAGCATTATCTTTTGATACAGATGGCAAGGAGGAGACTAGAGATGGTCGATCTTCTGATTTTAACAGCCAAAGACTTTCATGTGGGAAAGGGAAAGAGGTTGAGGTGTTGCATGCTACTCCGAGTTGTTCAACGCTTTCTTGTACCAGCAAACAGAATAGGTTAAGCAAAGGCGGCAATACATCACTTCTGGAAATAGCTTTACCGTTTGTTCCAAGATCTGATGATGATTCCTCTCGGTTGCACGTGTTTTGTCTGGAGCATGCTGCGGAAGTGGAAGAACAACTTCGTCCTATTGGGGGGATTCACATAATGTTACTATGCCATCCAGGTAACAGAAAACTACAAGATTCATTTTTTATTTGATTTACGACATTGTCTGGGTTTTTCTGTGTAAATTGTGCATATGCTTGTCTTTTCATCACTAAGGCGCACGCTATTTGCAGAGTATCCCAGGATAGAGGCTGAAGCAAAAACAGTTGCCGAAGAACTTGGAGTCAATCACGAATGGAATGATACTGAATTCAGGAATGTGACCCAAGAAGATAAGGAAACGATTCAAGCGGCGTTGGATAATGTTGAAACCAAGGCTGGGAACAGTGACTGGGCTGTAAAATTGGGTATTAACCTTTCTTACAGCGCTATTCTCAGTCGCTCTCCTCTGTACAGCAAACAGATGCCTTACAACTCTGTCATATACAATGCGTTCGGTCGCAGCTCTCCAGCAACTAGCTCACCCTCGAAACCTGAAATTTCTGGTAAAAGATTTTCCAGACAGAGGAAATATGTTGTTGGAAAATGGTGTGGTAAGGTTTGGATGTCACATCAGGTACTATTGACTAACCTGAAACCATACTAATTCGGACATTAGTACATCTCTGTTTCTGCTTGGCTTGGTTCAACTTAAGAATAACACTCTTTTCTTCTTCAGGTGCATCCCTTTTTGCTGCCGCAGGACTTAGAGGGGGACGAATCTGAAAGAAGTCATCATCTCCGAGCTGGTCTGGATGATGATGTCACTGGGAAGAGATTGTTTCCTCGTAATGTTTCTAGAGATGCAACCACAATGTTTGGAAGAAAGTATTCTAGGAAGAGAAAGATGAGAGCAAAGGCTGTGCCACACAAAAAGCTTACCTCTTTTAAGAGGGAAGACGGAGATTCTGATGACACGTCGGAGGATCATTCTTATAAGCAGCAATGGAGGGCTTCCGAAAATGAGGAAGAGTCTTATTTTGAGACAGGAAATACGGTTTCTGGTGATTCGTCAAATCAACTATCTGATCATCAGCAGCTCAAGGGGATTCGTCGACACATGGGTGTTAAAGAATTTGAGTCAGATGATGAGGTTTCAGACCGTTCACTTGGAGAAGAATATGCCGTAAGGGAATGTGCAGTTTCAGAGAGCTCAATGGAGAATAGCTTTCAGCTATATAGAGAGAACCAGTCAATGTATGATTATGGTGATGATGATATCTACAGGCACCCTAGAGGGATTTCAAGGAGTAAACGGACAAAAAAAATTAGGAATCTAGTTTCATATGATTCAGAAGAAAATGGTGCTTATCAGCAACGGCGAAGAGTATCCACGAGTAATATGCAAGCTAGGCGAATGGGTGGTGAGTATGATTCAGCAGAGAATTCTCTGGAGGAACAAGACTTTTGCCTCACAGGGAAAAGGCAAACTAGGTCACAGCCAAACGGAAATCTAAAATCGAGGCACTTCAGAGTCCAAGAGGGACAAAAAGTTGCGGCTTGCAAGAATTTGCAACTGGAAATAAGAATAAAGAATTGGATTTATACATGGAGGGGCCTAGCACTCGGTTTAGGGTGAGAAACCTGAAGCCCTCAAGAGGGTCTGCAGAAAGAAAACCAAAGAAACGTGGTAAGAAAGGAAGTACTAATGCTTTCTCCAGAGTTGCAAGT